CCTGCTGAAAATGGAAATAATCATCCCATGTGAAATTGTGAAATAACAGTATTGTTGATTACAGAAAATCAGTAAACCAAGGACAACATAGATTCCTTACAATGTACAAATCATCGAGAAAATTTGCCTCTCTGTACAAAAAGATACTAATGTGAAATATTATAAACTAGAATAAATTATTACAATTGTGCTCATTTTGAATTTATATTCACAGAATGGTATCCGTAGTATTCATGTATTTGTATTTGTTATTAAATCATTCAGACTATGGATTCTTTTAAATGATAAGTAGCTTTGTGTCTGGATAGTGTCTAGCATCATAGAGCCTTGGCCCATGAATAGAAGCACTAAGTAAAATGGAAATAAACATAGCAATATTAAAAAGATATCCCTTACATGAGCTTCTGCTGAGTATCTAATTGTTTAACAGCCACTGCAAAATCTGTATGATGATTTGGTTGGCAATACAAAAATGCTGAAATAACAATGGGCCACATTCAGCCAGTTCTGTAATTCCTTGAAGTTCTTGCTGCTAGAGATCAAATGAGTTAGGAAACTAAGACACTGCTACTCAGGAAATGAAAATATTTTAAAATGTGTTTTCTAATGTAAAAAAAGCAGATGTATAGGCACAGTCTTTACATCTCCACGACTGGCATGTAAGGCCTTTTCTGGAAAATATGCATCCTTATGCCAGCGTAGTGTGTCGCGACTCTCTGAACCAAGACTGGTACATCAGAAAACACTTTTTGTCGTGAATGTGATTTGTAGATCCTTTACTTACATTTATGAAACAGCCATTGTTTGAGGAGGGTTTATAGTTATCATATACAGTTTCTGTGAGGATGAATAGGAAGTGGTTTTCATTCTTAAATGTTTGAGTTGTCAAAGCAATATCTAATTCACAGTCATTTTGATGGAAGTTGTTTCAATGTCATAGGTGAAATCTTGGCCCCATGGAAACCTGAGGAGCCATGGGTCCCAGCTGGCTCTCTGAAGCATCTCTAGGAAAGCCACACAGTGACCCATGTAGCCAGGTGTCTTGCAATAGATTGTGTCAGTACCTGGAGTGGTAAAGTAAGTAGCAGAAAATGGCATAGAGACAGTGTACCCAGCTGGGAGCCTCATTCATCAGTGATTGGTTTTCACTGGGAAAAGCAACCTGTACAAACTTTATAGGGAAAATATATTTACTTTCTTAAATGTGTCTGTATTTTTTTTCATTGCCCATGTAAGGATCCATTTCTTTCCTGTACAGGACTGAGATGTTGGCTTCATTCACTAGGATCCTGGTCAGACAGTCCACAGGTATACTGACCTGTTGTGCAGATGAGTTATTGTACTTGTTAGTCTTAAAGGTACTGCATTTCAGTTTGCTCTTGTCTCTGTTACTTGAGAAAATGTGGAAGTTGGTGGAGGCTGACTGACCTGTTTTATCCTCCTCTCTGCTTTGTCTAATTGTCTTATCAGTTTTTTTTTTACCTTCTGAACCGATTCTGTTTGAGCTCTGTGTTGTGAGGCAGCCAGAACAGAATTGTTTTTTCATTTTTTTTTTTACCTTCTGAACCGATTCTGTTTGAGCTCTGTGTTGTGAGGCAGCCAGAACAGAAAAAAGTATCTCAGAACACAGCAAAACTTTCCTCTTTTTCTGTTTTAATTTTTATAGTGTCATTACCATATTTTCACTTTGTATTCCAGTCTTGGACACCTTAATACTTCCTTTTCTTCATTAGAAGTGAGCTGAGATCTTAAACTGCTTTCCGTCTCTGAAGGTTTAGGTGTAGCTTACAACTTTGCTCTGAGAAAAAAGTAGCCAGTTGTACCGGTGTTTCCAGTGTCTCCCTCGTTTGATCCCATGCAGGTGCCTACGGCAAGAATATGACTCCAGTCTGCCTAGTGCTAGTGTCATCATCTGTTTCCATGACGAAGCCTGGTCTACTCTGCTGAGAACCCTGCACAGCATTATGGACACAGCCCCAAAGGCCTCCCTCAAGGATATTATCCTAGTCGATGATCTCAGCCAGCAAGGTAGTCCCCATTTCTCTGTATGTGAGCTCTTTCTTCCAAAGCTTCAGGGAAGAAATTGTCCTCCTCCAAGAAGTGCGTGAGGAGAGCAGAAAGCAAAGAGGACCTTCAGGAAGAGAGCTAAGCAGAGCCCTGCGCTGGCTGCCAAGTTTCACTCTTCCATCCCTAGAATTCAGCTTAGCCTTTCAACTTTGAAATATGTTTCTTTTTTCCCCATCATTTCCAATCACTCTGAACATTCTTACTTTAAAATAAGATCACAGTATGCAAATCTTAGCCCTCCCACTGGACCAGATCTGCTGTAATAATTTCCAGACTCTGACTTTGGCTGAAGCATGGACTGGAAAACTCCACATTGCTAAAGTAATCCAAAGCGCTTGGGAAAGCCAGACACCTGTAGAATCTCACTCTGATCTGCGCCTTTTATGAGATGATGAGAGCATCCACGTTTTGCTGAAAACGGGAGAGAAGGCTATTAAGTTTCCCACAGGAATAGCTTACACCTAGTGAATCTCAGTTTCCATTAGTCTCTACTTCTCTTTGACATTATGCTGCTGTGGGAATATTTGGAACATGGCCTACTTGGCCGTGTAAAACACATGCCCCCAAAACATTTTGCCTGCAAGAAGCAGCATCTCCTACTACCTGTTGCTTTTCTATAACAGTTTGAATCAAAGCTAAAATATTTCAGTAACCGTTCTATTTCTGACAGGGCCCCTGAAGACAGCTCTGAGTGAATACATCTCTAAGCTGGACGGTGTGAAACTCATCCGGAGCAACAAGAGGCTTGGAGTCATCCGAGGTCGGATGCTGGGAGCTGCACGGGCAACCGGGGACGTGCTCGTTTTCATGGATTCACACTGCGAGTGTCAGAAGGGCTGGCTGGAACCCCTCCTAGCTAGGCTGTCCAGCAACCGGTAAATATCCGCATGACCTCTGAGCTCACTGCATCTACTAATTTATGCTGAAAGAGATGTACTTGGAAAGATCTGGATATTTTCTTTTGTCCTCTCTTTGCTACTTTCTTCCTTCTGATCACACTGCTTTTATTTCCTACCTTACCACCACCTGCATCACTGATATGTGGGAAGCAGGATAGGTCACACAGCTGATAACCCTCACTTCACACACAGTATCACTGAACTGTCAGAGTTTGTATCCAGGTAGAGCTATAAGAAGGCCTCCTGGTGGTCTGAATGAGAAGGTTTGCAGCCTCAAGCTGTTTGGAAGTTGGCAAACATCCACCAGAGAAACTACTGCAAGACTCCATGATTTTTACTTTTTAGCTGCTTCAGTCATGAAGCCAAGGATAAAATGTTTTGTCCTCCATACCAGTGTCACCTGCACTGTCTCTGTTCCACAGAAAAAAAAAAAAAAAAAAAAAAAAAAAAGAATTTCTGGGCAGCCTAGACAGTTCTAGCTAATCACAGGTACTTTCACTGACACCAAACTGACAGAGTAAGATACAGATTTATATTTTCCGAGTCATTCATGTTTAGGTTGGTGCTTGGGCCTGCTTTGTAATGTATAGCTGAGCACATCTGTGCAGTCCCCAAGTCCTTCAAAGAGATTAAATCACTGAAAATGTTTCAAGAATTACATGGCGATAAATCCTTTGTTAAAGGGACTTTTCTGAAAGAAAAATTTGTACATTAACTTGTCTATCATTACCCATAAGCCACTTGGGAAAAAAGGAATAATTTCTTGAGGGGGTAATAGAAAAAATACATCTTTAAAACTCTTACCAGACTGTTAAATAGGCATACTAAAGACCTTCAAAGGCTGTTTCCAGGCACTGGAACAAGCTGTTTTTGTGACTGATTATGTCTGCTTATTCAAGAATTAATTTGAGTTTTTGGAAATGGTTACATCATTTGGATGAAAACATTAAAAATACTGCAAGCAAGAGTAATGCTGCCCTAGAATGTCAGAATTATTCTTTTCTAAAAGGTCCTCCTTGGAAAAGCAGATTATTTTTGTCAGCTGACTTATTAGATAGTTTATTATTAATACACTTCATGATTCTTCTGTCTTCAGCTATGGTCTCTTGTTGATGTTCATGCAAAATTCCTGTCTGTATCAACATGCCAATCCTTATTCAAGGTTGTTTTGCTGAAATTGAACGAGTTACAAAAAGTCTCAAGAGGAGAGCTATAGCGAAGGGGGAATTACAGTGTCAAGAGAGAAGTTAGGACCCTACCACAACTGTAGTGATTCACTGTCAAAAATTATCCCTGCTAGGGGAATGCAAAGCCACCAAGCCTAGTATACTTCTGAGATTTATGTAGCACTGTCACCAGGGGATGAGAAAGGGATTCTCTTCTCCTGTAGGGCTCCTACACTTACTCATTCCTCCAGGTGAGCAGAATTTGACACGGAGTGAGCTAATGGCTAAGTGGATCCATGGAGCAAAGGTAGAAGGATGTTTGGATAACAGTATGGTCTAAGCCATCCCTTTCTGTGTGCTGTGTCAGTCTCTGTGTCTGACCCTGGAAGCTTTGTCACTGCTAGTGTGGAGAACTTGTGCCATCCTCCAGTGCACAGGGGAGACATGCTCTAAGGCATCTGGCAGTCACTTTCCCTCACTATCCTTCTTCTCCCAGCTGAAGAATGGTGATAATAACACTGGCCTGATAAGGAAGTTAATTCATTATTTTTCCCAAATTGCTTGTAATGCTTGCATGGACATCACTATGGATATGTAAAGCATTAGCATGGTCAACTTGGCTTCATTTAGCAGTTGAGGAGCTGTTAAATTGAATCATGTGCACTTCCTGAGACTACCCAAATGAGTAAAGCACAGCGAAGAAAAGATTACAGTGACTGGTGAAATATCCATCATTCCTCTTCCTAATGTACCAGTCACGCTGTAACTCATGCACTTTTGCTGGAGAGACAGGATGGGAAAACACTTAATCACCTAGAGTGAGTGAGTTGTTTGCTGGCAAGGAAAAATGCAGTCTTTCCAAAGCTCAAACCTTTGCAGGAGCTCAGCAGAGCTGGAGGGAGATTTTGTGAAAACTGTGATTAAGCCTAATTTTCTAGACTCCTGATCAGATCTACTACTGTGACCTGTCTTAGAGCGATGCTGAGAGATCCTTGCCCAAACTGAGACCTCACTGCGAGTTGCACGTACTCACTAAAAGGAAGATACCCCCAGGTCTGCTTAGCCTGTGGTAATGTCAAACAGGACAAACATGAGAAAAATTATCCCAATTTTACAGGTATGGAAATATTTGACAGATATTTGACTTGCTGTGGATGATGACATTTCATCTCCCTACATGATGGTTTTATTCACTAACTCAGTCAAAATTTTTTTCCCAAAAAGCACAGAGTCTTTCTAAAATCATTACATGTGCATTTATGGGCACCTTGATTGGGACTAGTTTTGTGAACCATGCCTAACAAATTGACGGGGAAGCTGTGCATCAGCTTGGTGTATCGCCTAGAGAATGGTTCAGCATTTTGCAAAGCGTCCCTTGACATCTTGATTATTCAAGGATGAATACCATAGGCACCTGGACAACATTAGAAAACTAGATGAGATGCCCCACAGATCATTTTATTTGACAACTGTTTGTGTTCCAGGATAATTCCAGGTGAGTAGCATGGTGCATAGTAATGCACCTGTGTAATTATTACAGTCATCTTTTTAGGGGTTTGCCTTTTCCAGGAGACTGCAGGAGATAGCTGCTATTTTGTATTCAGTCCAAAGGCAGTGAAAGGCAGAGGGGTCATATAATGAACTGTGCCATGAAGCCTTTAAAAGGTTGTTCCTTTAATCTAAAAACAGGGATCATCATGCTGAAGGAGGATGACTTTTTTAAAAAACATCCAAAATGTGGCTCCTGAGAATACTGCATGAAAGCAAACTGAGCCTTGATTATATCCTTGACAGGAATTTCACCTCTAAAAAAGGCATGGGCACCATAACTGTGGCAGAGGGGTGGCTTGCAAAGGGGTAGCTTGTGCTTAGGACCTCTTCCCTGCTCCTCATTGCAAGGGCTGTTTCACTCTGTGCTGGTGCACTGCCTATACCACAGCTCAGGCATTATGTTAGGAAACAGAACCCTGTGATACTATTAAAAGAAGCCTATCTAATTTCTAAAATTCAAAGTGCCTGTACTTAGCGCTGTGATTCTAGGTCACTAGTCTTTAATGAAAATGCTGTTAAAGAGAATAAGAAATGAACACAGCAGTGGAAAGGTATCTCATCCACTGTTCGCTCCCATTCAGGAGTGAATGGGACCCTCTGCTTGTAGATACAGGAATAGAAACAGAGTTCTGCTGTCCAGAAAATTTGTGTGGTTCTAGTTTTATGGTAATACACTAGAGAGAAGGGAAATATTTTGCATCAAAGTTGAACAGTTTCTTCAGCTCTTTTCATCTGATTCTCCACTTCTCAGTGGCCCATACACCAGCTTTTTGAGCTACCAAATACATAAGCCATCTATTTTCTACCTTCTCACAGGCTCAGGGAAGCATGAAGTTATCCGTCCAGAGCCCACACAACCCCAGCATCTGTGCATGCATTTCCATGCTGCTCTCCTTGTTTTGAAGACTTTCCATACCCTTGACATAGAACAGCCTGCTTCCTGGGACTTGTCTTTTTGCCTGATCCTTTCATATCCTCCATTTGTCAATAACACTCATTTCAAATTCAGTAAATTAATGTTCTGCATTTACATGGTGTGTTATGTGAAGATACACTATCTCTTTACAGTCTTTCACAGTTGGATCAGGATCAGCAGGTGACCTATTTTAAAGATGTTGAGGTAAAGAAACTGAAGACAAGAGTCTAAAGCCAAAAGCAAATATTACTGACAAAAGTAGGAGCAGTGAGGATTTAGGCATGATTCATGCCACTGTGCCCTGACTGTCCAGTGTAAAAAGGTATTTATTGATTGCTTCTATGGATTTTGGTATCCCACATACAGATTTCAATATTTTTACAAAAAAGACAGGTTCACAAGTTTTTTTTTAATAATCCTTGTAGCACTCTACCTAGCAGAGCTTTGAAGTATATATTTAGTGCTTAGCGTAGGTGTAGTCCATCAGTTCAAGGAGACTGTTCATATGCCCTAAGTTAGTCTGGAGTTGGTCTGTAAGGCAGTGTTTAAGTTATCCTTTATACCATAGCTTTACCATTCCTGATCACTGTGTTTTATCTTTTTATTAACCCTATCTAATTTCAAATGTTTTTCATTACTATTTCCCGGAAGACTTCCAGCAAGGTGCTTTCAGTGAAAATGCAGCAGGCTGTGGAACCAGCTTGGGTTCTCAGTTACTTACTGAAGTTTTGACTACGTGCAGAGCCAGAGAACTTGGACTGCCTGGATTTCCTAGCTATGTAGTTTTTGCAGGGAATGATCCACTCTGAAATTGGTTGAGTAAAATACATCACTTTCATGTTTGGGTTTTTTTTGTTCCTCCTTATTTAAAGAGAGATTTAAACAGATTAAAGTCTGTTCCCTTCCCAGCCAAAGAAAGTATAAATCAACAAAAAACACTTTCAAAAACGAGTGTGTCTAAAACTTCAAAACAGATGTCTTAATTAAATCTTCCTCTCCTCATGTTACTTATTCTAAAAATAGAAAAGAACATAATGTCCGTGGTGACTGTAAAGGGTCATGGGAAGACATTTCGTTCACAATTGTATTTGGTTGAGAAATCCCAAACCAGGAAACTGTCCTTGTTTGGGTTGCTCTTTTTCATGCAGTTGTGACCTTTTGTAGTTCATGTGTGTTCCAAGCATTTGAAATATTCACAGATTAGTCAAATGGTTCAAAGCCTTGCTGCCAGTTGTTTGAATTTCCTGTTTTTTCCTTTCCTTGGATTCCACAGAATAAAATTAGCAGTAGTTTGCCAGCGTGTCTTTTGTTTCAAAGTGCTGAGAAGCTGCTGACTGTCTGCCAGTTACCCAGTTAAAAACCAAAAGAATAGGTATGAACATCTTCCAACTTTCAATGAACTTCTGCTGCAAATTTGCATTTAGAACCACACAAACATGAAACCGTCATCGAGTATGCAGCAAACAGATCTTTTATAAAAAAGCATTAATATCAAAAGATAGGTAAAGCACTGCTTGATTAAGACTAAAACTGGACGTTGACCAGTTTTCACACAAGACGAAGTTACTGGATTCCTCTACTTCAGATCAGAAGGACACTCGCAATTTTTAAAGCTGTGTCCCAATATTTAAAGGTGTGTTTCTGTTGGTTTCAGCAGAGCTACGCCAGTTTGTACTAGGTGAAGATCTAGCATTACGCTTACAGACATACTCTTGCAAACTGTTAACATTGGCATTCTGAAAAAGCTACCAGAGTAATAGCTCTCAAGCACAGTTATCAGTTTGTACTGTATAATTTTGTCGGAAAGGAGATTAGATTTTTTTTTGTTCTGGTTTATTGTTGAATTTAGCCAGGGTAGAATGTGACCTACCCGGTGAGTTATTTTCAGCTGTCTTAAACACTGTAATTTCCTATGTCGTAATTTGCAGATAGTTTGGATAATTGCTCAGTCTCCAAACCATCAGAATCTGTTACATCTCTGCAGGAATTTTTCTTTAATGGCATTGAAAAATCAATGCCCAATAACAAGCAAAGCAAAAGCATGCATTAAAAATACAGGATTATTTCGACACAAACTACTACTGTGGTGGTACTCTTATGATCAATTGCACTGATGCTAGAAGCATCACTGGAGTTTGAAGTTTTATAGTGGCTACAAATTTAAGGTGGGTCCAGAAAGAGGAACAGGTTTTAAATGGCTGAAATGATATGAAAATGTAGGACAGTCTGAAATGTCTGGATCATCTGATCCAGAATATATCTAAGCGTAACTGAGTATCTGCATTGTCTCTGTCTGAACTATCCTGGATATGCTCACGTGATCTAGTCTTCATGGTCAAAGTTTTTTGAATGGTTTAGTCTGCAATGCCTCCTCTGGCTTCCACTCAAATACGCCCTCCTAATATTTCTCCTAATATTAGTTCCTCAGTCCTGTCTGGATGAGGATGGATAAGCAAGTAGCAATTGCCAGCATGCATTTCAGCAAGTAGCAACAAACTGAGGTGAGAAGTGTACAACTCCGACTACACACCTAACCAGACAGTTGTCAGAGATACTCGTACACTGGAGAATGCAGCAGGCTGTAGAAATTACAATTACAGTGACTTTTCATTTTTTGAAGTTCAGTCATATAAAATCCCTTTTAACTTGTTAGATGGATTTTTCTCGGCATATCAAAGAAAAAACATGTGCTTGTGTGTCTGTGAGGACACTACCTTTTAGTAACTTCTAGAAGCAGTTAGTTTCCTTTTTGTGCTGTTAGTGAGTAAAGGTTAAACACAGCTTTCAGTACAAAGGCTCCTGCTGTCTTGAGTTTGAGGTGGTTGCTCCTGACTTGGATACAACACTGTATCACAGGGGTATCATCAAGAGAATCAGGGGATGATATCAGCTTCATTATTTTTAGTATCATTTCTTTCCACTTCTTCTTGGGTCCTGTGGGAGAATAACAGCAAATGACTGCCTTAATGTATATGCCTACAGATGTTGCATGAGACCATAAAATTTTCTCATCTATTTATAAACCCAGTGCTTGTTTCTAAGAGTGCCTATTATTACATATTGCAAAGGCTGGTTTTACACCTGAACAGAGAAATACAATCAATTCTGTATTTTAAATCTTTCTGAGTTTAGCTCATCATAGGGCAGTCTGCTCTAATTAGAAAACAATGGACTGAGTCATTTTAACATTATCTTCTGCATAGTTCACCTTCATACAGTTCTCTGACAGTCAGTAGTCTCTGTTTCTCCAAGGGCTTCAGAAATTCTCAACAGGAAATGACAACTGTGATAAAACAAACTTCAGACTTTCCCCCCACCCTGATACTGAAAAACCATTACTCTAGTGATTGTAAAGGCAGAGAAGATATGTCAAGATTACATTAACATCACCCAGAGCTGCCATCTTCCTCAGCTGGTTCTAGTCTCTGCCATGGAAAAGTGCAAAGGACTTACTGCGTTGGAGACTTCTGAGATGTCCTTTCTTCATGACACGGGGATGGTTTAAGTGTATTTCTCTCAAGAGTGATCTCTGACCAACATACAAATCTTTAAAAGAGGAGATAACGCCTTCTACTTTTTGCCCCAGAACTGACCATTTCTTTTCTCTCTCTCAGTAGAACCAGAGTATTTTTTTCCAGTGTACTTTAATCCCTAGTAAATGTTCCTGATTTTTTATCCAGAGGAACTTCTGTCTATAGGGAAGCCCTTACACTGAGACCAGAGGCTATCCTTTTTGATTAACAGAAAATAAATGGATCATGTTGTTCTTCAACACTTTTTTTTCCTGCAGTCCCTAATACCATTGTATTTATACTCTGAAAATTTCCAAATGGGATATGTCATTGACCTGGAAACAAGGAACGCTGGTTGCTCTTCTGAACTACCAGTTAATTCCAAGATGATGTACAAGCAAACTGTGAAATACTGTGACATGTTTGCCATGGGGAAATGTCTAATACCTCTTCTCAGACTAATACAAATTTAACTCAAGTTAGAAATGAATTAGAGGATTGCTGCTTACGGTGCAATGGCTCTGTTCTGGCTCTTAAAAGTAGATTCCACACTGTGACAGTGCATTTTCAAGATAATTTTAAGCTTGTAATAAAATACAAACATAAACTGGTTTATGAACTCAGTGATAAATGTTTTTGCAAAACAACAAGCAGAACAAAATAAGGATAAGTGCACTCTTTGTTGGCCTGAAGTGACAAACTCATGAAGTGTGTGGAACAGCTACAGGAAAATCAAAGCATGGTAAAGTGTATGAGGCCAAAAATCATCTTTATCAAAAGATACTTTGTATCCATGCAGAGCGTAAAACATCAGAGCTTGGGGCCTCTGTGTGGAATAGCTTTATAAGAGTTCTGATGGTTAACTCATAGCAAAATCCTGAATATCTTTGACAATACAAGGTACAGGTTATCAATAAATTATTGATCTTTAGCTTCCTCACTGCAGGCTCAGTATTCCCATGCACTGACCACCTGAGCGTCTATCCGCAGGGAAAATATGGGCACTCAGCATCTAGAGGAGTGCTCATGCTTGACAGCATCAAAGAGAACCTCTGTTTACTAACAGAATAGTGAACTTAATTTGTGCTTTGGCTTTGAAAATAAATGATACTGTCTTTTTCAGAAACAGTGTCGTCTCCCCTGTCATAGATGTCATAGACTGGAAGACTTTTCAGTACTATCATTCTGTGAGCCTGCATCGAGGTGTTTTTGATTGGAAACTAGATTTTCATTGGGAACCACTGCCAGAGCATGAAGAGAAGGTACGACAGTCTCCCATCAGCCCTATCAGGTAACAGTCCATCAGCCAATATGCCTCTGCTCAGCTCGGCAGCAAAACTGTACAGTTTGGGTCAGCTTTCAGCTAACGGAAGAGAGACGTGGTTACTTGCATGTGCTCAGTTAACGTTTTTTGAAGGGATAAGTTTCTGGCTTACACTGAGTTTGTTTGGCCTTCTAACTAGATTGCAGTCATACTTTCAACATGACAAATATTTTCCACACATTGACACAACTAGTATACAGCCTGAGCAGACAAAGGTGATAGGGAAAGTAAAAGATGGATCATACAGAGTTAAAAGAGATGTCTTAATCATTATCAGTTTGTCTGTTGTTTCGGGTGTACATGTAAGTAACATTTCCCACTGTTCTGAGCCTTATTTAAGAATTCAGGTCTTGTCTCCCATCCCCAAGCAAATCCTGGAATTCTGTTCCAGTTGTTCTTTCTTTTGGTTGGATAATTAATTCATTAAAGCTTATATGGAGTAGTGTTTGATCATTTTCTAATGCTATCCCTATGGAAATGGTGGTATTTTCATCCTTCACAAAATTCCCTATTCAAAACTGAAGGTGTTCACTTTCAAATTGTTTTCTACACAGGAGTCCAGTGGTAGCTGGTGCAGTGGTGGCCGTGGATCGACATTACTTCCAAAACACTGGAGCTTATGATTCTGACATGACCACATGGGGAGCAGAAAATCTCGAGCTATCTATAAGGGTAAGAACCTTAATTAAACATCAAGCTGTGGTAACTATTGGGTTTTTAAGGAAGCTGAATAAAAAGGCAAGAAGCAGTTTATAAAAGCAGTTAAGTGCAGAAAATCTTGGGGTATGGAGAATACCACTTTACTCACAGAAATCTATCCCCATGCTCCGTGATTTGTCAGGACTATACAAGAACATGCAGCTGCTGTGAGTTAGGAGCATTATGTCAGGAGAAGGAAGTTTCCCTGGCTATCACTATCTGCCTGAGGACAGAGTCACTGGTTTCAGCAGCTTCTGAAAGCTGTCTCTTCTTTTTTGGCATGTAATGTGCACCAAAGGGAGAGTAGCTTTATTTCTTTGCCAACCTGTAGTTCTAATACCAAAATTCTTATATTAATTTTTTTTGCATTGATTCTTGCTGAATACAAAGAGTAACTGATACTAAAAAGCAATGAAACTAGCAGACACAAAGGGTATAGAGTCTTTAATGTCCCAGACAAAAGAAGATGTGCCCCTAGGTCACTTCACTACACTGCACTGTTTTGTGTACAGAAAAACCTAAAAGCATATAAATAGCCATACTGGGTCAAATCAGAGGTCTGTCTTGCCCAGTGTCTTCTCTGAGTCTTTGTGTCTGTGGGGAAGTGTATGAAGAAGCACTTAATAATGCTCTAGCTGTTTCCAGAAATGTGCAGATTAAGATTTCCTGAGGCAGAATCTATAGTACAGGAGCTTCTCCTTTTTAGGTAAAGGTAATCTAAATAAGGTAATCTCTTTTTGTGCTTTGACCTGTGTTTCAGACCTGGCTTTGTGGTGGCTCTGTAGAAATTATTCCATGCTCCCGAGTTGGACATGTCTATCGAAATCACTTTCCCCGTGCTTTCTCCTATGAAGAGGCCATTGTGAGGAACAAAATCCGAATAGCAGAGACCTGGCTGGGCTCTTTGAAAGAGAACTTCTACAAGCATGACACAGTGGCTTTCTTAATCAGCAAGGTAAGGACATCTATAGTGGTTTGTTTCTGAGGGAAGGACGGCCTGTTGAGGTAGGTGAAGGGGGTGGAATAGGGGTGAGGGTGTCTGTGTGCGATCTAAAATTCAACATGCGTGGTGCTGGGGATAGTCTTTATGAAACCTTCCAATGGAAGAGCTGTCAGATCAGGAAGAAAAGAGAGAAACTCATGCCTAGGAGTTGTTTACTGAAGTTATCAAATCTCTTAGAGTATGACATCTTCTTCAAATGACTCCTTCAGCTTGCCTAACAAACTGTGATTTATTTTTCCGTCAATAGTACATGGAGGCTTGCAGTACATCTGAAGTGGAAGCTAATAGCACTGTGTGCTCAAAGGGCCCTGCTAGAAGATTCATTCTTTGTTACTGAATGTCTTCCTCATGTAATTCTTGAGGATGTTCAGTAATATTCAAGGGCATGTGGCAAACTGCGGTGACTCTCCTACTGGAAGGGAACACATCTGAGTGGTCTAGTGACTAAAAAGGTGGGTTTTTTTCCTGAACTGACAGGCGTGCAGGAGCAACTGTCTGTAACTGAGAAAGTCAGGTGTCAGCACAGCCACTATTTACAAGTTACGTTTTCATTAGAAGCATTGCACAGACAGCAGTCCAGCCTCCAGGGATTTGGATTCCCAGCAGCCTGTACGCTGAGACAGGCTCTCAGCCAGGTGTGTGGCATAGCCCTGGCATGTGGCCACACTTCAACCATCTACAGGCTACACACCATCCAACAACTACAGAACCGCCACGCCTGGGTTTAAGCCACTGTGTAATCCATTGCAAGTCAGGATCAGTCAAGGGACCACATATCCCATGTATTACAAATCAGTGGATGTTTGTTTGTTTGGAGTTGTGCAGCTGTGGTTATGCCATTAATGTTGTTAATGCTAAATTGCTAATAATGTGAAGTTGTTAATGTTGCTGCAGTTCTCAGTAATTCTCTGTCTCCAATATCTTTTCTTGTAACAATATCCTCTCCTACAAGGCAGTGGACAAACTTGTGAGCAGTTGTGAATGAAAACAAGTCATTCATCTTTTTGTTCATTTAACAATGCCGTGCTTTTAAGGACTAAAAACATTCTCCAGAAACAGCCAGAGCATGGGTACATGCTGTCAAAGTTTCCCATTCAGTTTTGCTCTTGCACTGCAGTCCTGTGTGCCTCAGTCACTGCTGTGCTGTCCAGATCCAGCAGGAGCTGCATCGTAGTGGAGAGAGGAAGAGGGCTGTGCGGCGGCGTGACTTCTCTCCTGTCACCGAGTCTGACCTCCTTACAGTCCACCAGTGGATCTGCCTGTCCAGGCAGCCTGCTGTGCTAATCCTAGAGCCTGAGACTGCCACGTTTTCTTTTATTCTCTGATTTTCACATTTTTTGAAAAAGTTTCTCCATCCTTGTCTGTGCTGTAGGTTTGAACTCCACTGGCCAGAAGTTCATCAATTGACTCACAAGGGTTACAGCCATGTAACTGAAAGGAGGACACTAGGCCAATCTTTTTAAGATGGGCAGTTAGGTCCTTAAATCATTTAATAATTTCCTGAAGGCCTTTCTTGTCAACTCAGAAACAATTTTCTTTACTAAAACCTACAGCCACCAATGATACGGTTTACTAGCTGTAAGCACCATGACCTTTTGCCTGAGAATTTATTCTAGTCAGAATACTTTTAGTACTTTCAAGTCTGATGCTCCTTCAAATGATCAATTCTACGATCTCTGTGCTCAGCATACCATAACATAAAAGGCCCTTTTCTCTGTTGCTTTCTTTCACAGCCAATATTTTCAGTATGTCAGTGCAGCGGGATGTTATTCAAACGACGTGAGCAAGTGCTGACATTATTGCCACTCGGCTGCGGGTGAGCCCTGCGGGGAATCACCGTGCTGAGGGGGCGAGAGAAGCAACCTATTGACCACTACAAAAGTCCCCTTGGGTGGGATGCCAACATTGCCCACAGCAGACATAACTCGTGACCCTCGCTTAGGTTGCTTCATAAGTCTTCTCGGTTTGTGGTCTGCACCGCACCTTGCACAGGATGCCTGTGGCGTGAGCGTTGATGCAGACGAATAAGGCTCTTCCCAGCTCTCCACTGTTTCAGCCACCGTCTCTTTTTCTCTTTTTCTTGTGTGGTTTGTTTATTTAATTTACAAGCACAGTTTCCTTTCAGGTTGGTTTACAGGGGTAATTACTTTGTTTACATTATTTACACCATTTATTCAGTGTGAAATGCAGACTGTAACTAGTATGACAAAATGAGATTTACTGCCATCGCCTTCTTCAGCCAAAGCAGATTCTCATGAGAAACAACTCTTTTTAGAGGAAACATTTTACTTCTCTATTTCCGTTTTCCAAGAAAACGTCTTGCGGATAGGTCTGTGTGGTGCTGAATTGCTGAACTTTGTTGTTATGTTTATTGAATCTAAGACTAATACTAAACTATGAAGTTCTCTTTAACGTATTGCAACTATTGAGCTTTGCCTGTGCGGCTTGCAGGAGCTGGCAAAGAGTGCCCCATGGCATGACTGATCCCTGCCTTTGGAAACTGATCCCTCTCCCTCGATCTCCAAGGCCCTTCATTTGTCAGTGTTCTCCAGGCATGTCGCGAAGTCTTTCTTTCTTTCTTATGGATGCAGAGAAATAGCTGGTCTGAGGAAAAGTTATTTACGGGCAATTTTTTTGCTTATGTTACCAATTTTAATTTCTGACATAGGAATCCAGACCAGTTTCCTGGAATTCAAAACTGCATTTTTAGAAAGTAGAAACATGAAGGGGGAGATCTACTGCTGGCAAGAAAGAGGAGAGAGACTCTTAAGGGTGGTGAGGTGTTTTTAGTATTTGGTCACTGACAGATTTAGAGAAGTGTTTTATGTGGTTTTGAAACACAGGGATTAGACACTTACCTGCTTAGAGGTTTTCAGAATGCTGTTAGCCATCTTCAGTGCTAAATACCCTCAAATATTCAGACTGTCAGTCCTTGGCAGTGCAAATGCCTTGCAGCAAGGATTGAAGGCACTGATCTTTTTCAGAATAGTGCTGCTAGCAGGAAGGGTGAGAGTTGAGATTGTGTGTATATAATTCAAGAAAAGACATAAATCATAGGAAATATTTTATGCCTTTATAGCCACAAAATACATTCACTTACTAGATTTAGTAACTGGCAGGTAATAATGTGATAGAGTATGTTTTGGGCTAAATGCTGTCATCGCTTACATCCTCTGATCACGGAGGACTGACAATAACTGGGGGATCTGGGCTGTTAAAGGCTAAGAAATTGAATTTTGATCAGCAGGGCAAATTCTATACGAAATGATAATCTAATACTATCCCACTGATTTCAGTGCAACAGCTATCAAACTTGGCCCTGACTTTTTTAATTAAAGAGATGACAAAGACTGACTTATCTTGCAATATAATAATTATTTTTAGAGGAAATAAATACTTATTTTTACAGTGTAGGCTGCTTCTGAAACATTTACTCCTGTCACAATTGCAGACTAAATGCTATTTTAGCACAAAGTTGGTTATAAGGTTATAGCTAGTCCTCCTCCTCTGTGTAGTCATGAAAAATATGTCAATATCTATAACATGCAGGATAGAAGAGGTGGTAGAAATCATTCCTATGTTGTCATTTTCGTTTCTAGCATCTCTAACACAAATAGAGTAGTAACCTTGTTGCCCCTGTGCTTCCTCCGTGAAGGCAGAGAAGCCAGACTGCAGCGAGCGCCTTCAGCTACAGAAGAGACTGGGCTGTAGAAATTTCCAGTGGTTTATATCAAATGTGTACCCTGAACTCTCCCAACCTGAAGACACACCAAGATTCTCTGGCAAGGTAAGAGAAAACACACAATAAATAATGATGAGTGGTTTCTGCAATGTTCAAAGACCCTGAGATCGCTGCCATGTACGAAGTACTCAGTGAGCATACAGTAAGAGGCTCTTCCTGCTTTGAAACATTTATTGTCCAAACAGACAATGCCGCAAGGGTGGGAGGAGAAACAAAAGGACAGAGGAGACAAACAGCTAGTCCACATTCTCACATAAAGGTTGAAAGCCAGCCAGGAGCTGAACCCAGATTGTCTGACTCAGTTCAGTGTCACAGCTCAGAGGATCCTAACCTTAAGTTATTTAGGTGTCATTAGTAAAGGAAAAGAATTGTGTTGCCTCACACAGATGGCAGCCGCAACAGCAGCTGAGATACCTGTGTGCTGACCCATGTGTCTGAAGAGAAAAAAGCATTTCCTCAGTCCTGCACTTCCCCGAGGGCTGAGGTGGTAGCAACAGCAGTCCCTTGGCTGACTGTGTACAGGAGGCAATGTTTTATTTTAAAACACGTAAGTTGATTATCATTCATTAAAATGCAAATTTATTCCAGGCAGCCTTACTGGAAGGTATTTTCCCCCAACAAGGCAACAAGGTCCACTGATTAAGTCACACTCAGCTATCTGTAGCCAGAATTTAATGTGTCCTTTTACTATTTCGTCTGTTCTTTATTATCAAAGTTTTCTTGAGAAGAGTAAGAACTGAGTGTGGACAACAGGAATTGTCACGTTTTTTCTTCTGGAATATCTTGGGGTTTGCTGACTGTCCAGCTGAAGTGCATTTTTCCATTAGCATAAAAGTTTTGACAGATTTCTTTTAACTATCGTAACCGGTAAAACCAGAAGTGGGTATCTCTATCTTAAACAAAACTCAGTGGGTAACAGTGACCTTTGGTGAGACTCTGCCTTTTATACCAGAAAAGTTTGTAAGATCAATATGCAAGATCTAGTCTGAAAGAAATAAATATTGCCTGAATTATGAGCAAAAACAAATATCATAAAGGGATACAATCACAAAAAAAAAAGCTGAATGATATTTTGTTTGTATCTGATTGTGCTTTATTTCAGTATAAACCTTTACTTACAGCTTTACAATACTGGTGTTGGCTTCTGTGCAGATCACAGACCTGGAAGGGCCATTGCAGAAGGCTCTATCGAACTCTCTCCTTGCAGTGACAGCCTCACACAGGTACTGTATGTATGTAGGCACTGTGTCAGACCTAGGGAACCACCCAGAAGACAGTCACTCCAACATCTAAATGGCTGGGTTGACATTAGTGGAAATACTCATGTGTTCAAAATCAGGCATATGCTAAGGCAATGATGCCCACTCTTCTGCAGCTGAGTGTCATCTGAAAAATGGCCATGTTCCATGCATCACTGAGGCCACACACCCACTCTTTGCTCCAGCAGACATCATTAAGTGCATATTTGTTAGTATATTTGGTAGTGTCTGGAGAACAGAAAGCCTGGGAGTAAAAATATATATAACAATTCTAGAACAATGGGGATGGATTTCCCCATTAGTGCTAAACCTGCAGTGCAGTGCCTAAACTGCAAAGAGAGGAGGGAAATTCTTGTAGACTCCTCAGCTGGCATTAGACTAGCAAGTTCATGCATTAAGAGAAGCCAAACCAACGCAGATCAACTGCAGATATTTACTCTAAGTCCCAAGCAAGTTTTGCTGCTCGCACTGAGCTCAGGGTCTAACTCAATGCGTGCAGACACTGTCAGAAACGCCCTTCTGTTCAAATATTTGTTAAACTACAAAATTTTATTACAGGATGGATTTACTTTACACATAATTACAGTCCACAAAGCCTTTCCTTAGGTAAATATTTATGCCAGAATTAGCTAGCAGGGGCGATTGCTTTGCAGGGTCAAGGCTGTGGGGTCTCCATCACTCATGTTTGGGTTGCATCTTAACAAACATGTACAGGAAATTATGTTTTGAATTGGCATTTAAAAATTAATTGGGATGTCCTTCCATCATTGTTCAAACAAGCTTCCCTTTTCCAGCACTTTGAATATAACAGCATGAAGGAAATCCGGCTTGGTTCTGCTCCACTGTTTTGCTTTGATGTCAGACATGGGAAGGTTATCCCTCAAAACTGTACAAAGGAGACAGACGGCAGCCCCCAGCGCTGGGATGTCCAGGAGGTCAGTAGTGACTCTGCCATGAAGGGAGGGCAGCTGACAGTGGCTGTGGGTGACTGACAGGATTTGTGTGGGGGGAAGGGATGAGGTATTTGAAGGGCAAGTTTCACTTCTGTACCATTTTCACCCAGGAAATTTAGGATGCCTCTCACCCGTTTACACTGTCTATGTGAAATAAATTTGGTTTAAAAATACAGATTACAGGAATCCTACCTAAATTCATATGTCTTGGTTTTAACTGTTTGTCTTACTGGCCTTATTGCTATAGAATCAGAATCGGTGGTTGTGAAAATAGGAGCAGGGGAAATCTTTGCCCAGTTCTTTTGGACAGAGGAAGGGTCTGGGAATCCCAAACCTTGGAGCCCTTTGGGAGTAGGGGAAACTGTAACATTTCTCCTGCATTGTTAGAGAAGAGCAAACTTGCTATTAGAGAAATTTGGAATTGTTTGGTGGACTTTACCCAGCAGAGCCAGGAACTCGTCTTGTCTACAAGACTGAAAAATGTCCTGCTCTAGGACAGCCTGGGAAAATTGCAGTTACTGTAGTTGTAGGGACGCTGCAACCCTCTGGTGCAGTTCCTGCCGTAATTCTGAAAGGAAGCAGTGGTCCTTTTGAAATTTTGTGGCCTGTAGTACTGTAGTTGATGCTGATGACAAGCTGTACCCATAGGAAACAAGTAGTGATGGAAAAGAGATTTAGTGAATCCTGCACTTACCTGTCAGCTTCGAAAGAGATTACATATACTTACAGACCCTGGGCGCAAAGCTAAACCTAGTCCTTATGTTTAGAGCAATACTTAAAACATTTTGAACAACCAGTCATTACTGGTGATCTATCGTATGTAAAAAGTTTCAGAAACATGGTCTAGCTTTTATGGGAAATCTCTTATTTTTAATTTGTTCTTTCTTTCCCTTCTTCTCTCGTCTTGTAGAACGGAATGATTGTCCATGTCCTTTCTGGCAAATGCATAGAGGCAGCGAAGAGCGAAGACGAGAAGGACTTGTTTTTGTGTGTATGTAACAAGAATGCAAACCAGGTGTGGCAATTTGAACGTTCCCATGTGCTACGTCAGAGATGACTGACAGGTCTCTGTGGAGGTCAAGTCTCCAGAATTTAACCTTACTTCTGTCTGCGATTTAAGATATATTTCCTGCATGGACAAGAAAGACATTTGTGTTTGCTGTAGCATGCAAGGAAGTCAGGAAGGTCTCTCCTTTGAAAGCCTGGCTCGAATAGTTGCCACCAGATCCTGGTTTATTCAGCTCTAGCAAAAATTTGTATTTATTCTGTGAAGCAAGGAATAAAGACACTGTGAGCATCAATAGATTCTCAGCTCTGCTATTGCAGAAGACAGTGAAGTTTGCCCTTTGAAGGAAACCTGGAAAATTGGCTGCCAGACAGCTTGTCTTTAGCATATTCTGTGATTTCTGAGGATACAGGAAAATGAGTGTTTGTGAAACTTTTGTAAGATGAAGCCAGACAAACCAGGGTAAGAGTTTAGCCTTGTTTTACAGTGCACTCAACTCATATAAAACAAAGTAGGCTTTGTATTCATAAAAGTAGTAGATATTTTCACGTGTAATAGCTAAAATTTTGTTTTCCAGCTAGCCGGAGCTAAATTTCTACCCTTCATTAGATGGCACAGGGCATAAATTAGCACTTAATTAGGCACTAACTGCTGTAATTGACTTGGAAGACCAACAGTCCTCAGTGTTTGGCACACCCTTCCTTAAATCTTTCATCCACAGTCTAATTCAGATGAGAAAATGAGACGAAATTATTAACAACTATTTGCTAGCTTTAATGAAATTTAAGAACAGCTCTTCAGGAAACTTTTGAGGAATATGGAAGAACATTGAATTAGATTAGAGTAACAACTTCTTATTTTGAAATAAAAAGTATCAGTGGCATCCATTTGCTCTTATAAAGCTCTGGGATGAGCTCATTATTATTCCAGTGACAAAAGTGCTGGCTGAGAAGAGCAAATGAAGGAGAACGACAGGTTTCAACAGTGGCTACCTGAGAAAAAAATACTGATGCCTGGTTCCGCTTGCTTTCTGCCTCTTGCACTGAGTAAGTCTTGCACACTGTCAGTTTTAGCCAAGCAGATCTTTTTGATTCTTGATGTCGTGGTTCTCCAAGCTGATGCTCAAAAGACAGTAACATACCAAATTTTCTTAGCAGGCTTCTTCTGCAGAGCCCGCATGCCCGCTGACCTCCTGGCTTTCGCAGGTGAATGAGAGTTCTTGCCAGGTGAGAAGAATGGTCTCACACAGGATGCACGAGCAAAGCAAACGGCTACTGGTATTTTGTTAGGGCACTTTTGCTTTCGGAATTCAAACAAATAATGATGACGCTTTCCGAGAGCCTGCTTAGACAGAAAAACAAAGATTTGGGTTTTTTCCCACATCAGCACCACATCTGACTTGTACTAGAAATTGCTCATAGCCACATGTATTTATTAAAGGGAATGGACATCACTAATGAAACTTAATTTGTTATTGATATTTTTTGCAAGAGAGAGAAAATTGGTTTTTTTGTAAAATGTACAGAACATTGTTTGAACTTTAGACAAAGGAAGAAATAACAGAATATTCTGCTCAGAGCACTCCAGTCACCTGCTCTCAGTAAATCATAATAAATTGGTTTCAAGCATATGAAATTGGATACAACAGAAGATACAAGCAGCATTTTGTGTTGTGTTGTCCAAAACATTTCCCAGTGGAGTCTCTGTTTGCTTTGAGTGCTTACAGATTCTACACCATGTTCAGGCATTGCTCCAGTTACTGTAACTACCACTTACTCTTTCTTTGACAGCATCAGAATTGAATACCATTTGCTGTTGTGTCATTTAAATTTCCTGTGACATTCCTGAAAAGCTTCGACTTTCAGCTGAAAGGATGGTAGCGACACATTCCAGAACTCCAGGTGATCCCTTGTCATTGCCTAAATCTAGGGTGAGAAAAGAGAATTTCTAAAATTGCCTAAAAGCTGAGTGAAAAGCTGTTTTAATGACATGTGATTCCTTTACTTTAAATATAAGTGTGCCAGATTTTTAAATTATGTATTATTTATTGTATTGTGGACTCTACACTGGGAATATCATTCCTTCAGCATTTAGCTTAATCTTAAAAATATGTGTATACAAATATGATCATTGATCACAAGTGGGATTCATCACAAAGAAGAATGAAAATTTTTCTGGTTTAGAGAGGACAAGTTTGGAATAAAACTTATGAGATGTGGACATCCTCATCTTATATTGCTTTTTAACATACTGATAAAAACCTAGAAAACAAGGTTTGCTGTAGATATATGTACAATAGAAAAATGTTACATAATACCTCTGCCAACAATAAACTGAAAATGTGTGGTTCAGTACCATTTAAAAAATAATTGTTGTTATACTTGTTGCTTTTAGTAATAGGGTAACTGTGTGTTTGGTTCCCAGGGGAACTAAACTCCAGAGCACAGGCCAGAAAGGAGCTGCGGTGTGGTCCAGGATGCCTCTGTATGGGGACAGCCAGGGGACAAGGGTTGTGGGCCGCACTGTGGAGCACACTGCCCTATAATACACACATAACCTGTTACAGCAGAAAAAAAAAAAGGGAAAACACCTACCCCCCTGTTTTTCCTAGTTTCCTTCCTGTATGCCTTTTACATGGGTGGGTTGGTTGTACCAATGCTGTTTCCCCGTTGTGGTCTTTTACGCTTTGCCCCTGTTCTTGGCTCCATCAGCTAGACCCTGCTCCTCATGTGGGTTGTACCGGGGGCTCAATGAAGGGTCTCTGCTAAGGGTGCTAGTGGGTTTTCCTCGTTCTTGCCCATCTTTCAGACAACACAAGCAGACAGCGATGCTATGAGCGTCACAAAACATGGAATTACTTTTACCTCTGTATTTAGAAAGGGACAACATTTCAGGTTCCTCTAATTCCCGTTGACGGGAGAGAAACATAAGAACAAAACATTTCAGGCAAGAACGGAGTAGCAGTTTTAACTTAAGGCCTCTGAAGTAGAGCCTCGGGCAAGAGCAAGGGAATTCCAGCATAACACAAGTAAACATCTCGTAGTCTAACTGCACCTGTTTCTTTGAATTTGGCAACCCAGGCATGAGGACTGCTTTGAGACAAACCCACCCATGAAGCTGAGCTAAAAGGTCAGGTTCAAGAGCAAGGCATCTTTTGGTTGACAGCGCTTACTGAACAGCCTGGTTTATTCCTCTTCCAGCTAACTGGAAATGGAAGAACATAAAGGCTTGAAGCATTATTCAATTTGCATTTCTACCTAGACCCAGTCGATGCGGTCGTTGTCGGCTGTAGTCTGGGGTTTGTCCTGTTAGGCAAGGTGTCACCGCTAATGCAGAGGAACAGAACGGCAGCATTCTTCTCCGTGAGTTAACCCGAAGTTTGAACAGGGAGAAGGTTAGAGCAACCTTTATGCTGAAGCTTGCGGCACAGCAATGTTCAGGGCGTCTCTCAGCCCAGGTGTGAATGCCTCCAGGTCCTCCTGGGAGACGCTGGCCAAGCTGCAGTGCCGTCTGCTCGCTGAAATGCAACAGCTTCCGTCACAGATTTCCCCAGGAAGGAATGGGGCTACACTGAGGCAGCCAAGACAGGAGCCGTAACAGCCGAGATTTCTTTTTACGACAGCTGGATGGTGACACGCGAGTGAGAGCTTTCAGCTTCTGCCTTTGTAGCTCATTTTATCCCCAGCAGTTTGATTCAAATTACGAACAGACTGGAAGGAAGTGATAAAGGAGTGTTTTGCTAATGCTGGTGACTTCTCGGCTCGTGTTTTTAAGCTGTGCAAACTGCACCACTTCTGCCTTGAAAAAAGTACATCACTGCACAGTGAAATGTTGTATTTTTATTCCTCTCCATTGTCATATCATTGGCCAAGGCCTCTTCTTCCTCATGCCGCAGAACAGCTGGTCTGCAAATAGCCGTGTCGACAGCCTCCCATGGCAATACCTTCATTCAGCCGTCACTTAACGGTCTGACAGAAACGTACAGGAGGACTCTGCCTCCACTGACGTGCCCGATGGGGTTTGATTTCATAGTCCTTTGCCATGATTTCTAGCGGATTCTGTAGAAAGGTCTGAACAGGGGCTGCAGTAGCAGAATCCCTGGAAACCACGATCTCTGGCACACCCTGCAGACAGCTCCCAGCTGTTTCTTCACCGGGTGGCTTGGAAGGATGTATGAGAAAAGCAATCTGGCTACACAGCTCGGGACAGTGGGCTTAGCGTTTTGCTGTCTTTCTAGCTGGAAACGGTGCTTCTTTGTACAAGTTGCCCCACTTGGGGATGATTATTTTGCATTAGACAGATGGGACGGGATTCACCTCTGTTGACTCCGGCCACCCAAAGAGCAGTCATAACCGAGCTAATCGTCTGGGCTGCTTCTACGGGTCAGCAGAGAACGCTGCCAGAGGTAACACCATTCTTTTCAAAGAAAGGCAACTATTTAAGCAAGATGGGTGAATCACTATCTAGAAGTGCTTGCTTTCTCTACTGATTAGAGAGGGAGTCTTAATGATTAATTTAGATGGCACGTATAGCTTTTAAACTGGAGTTAGGTGGGCAGTACATCATCTGAAGGGTAACCAGGCTAAAATCCCTTCCAGGAGCCCTACCCCAGTGCCCAGCGCGTCCGATTCCACACAGATCTGGCTTCAGGCACAGCTGTGACAGCCAAGGACAAACTCCCTTGCCACCATCTGCAGTTTCCTCAAATAAGCTTACATCCAGCAGCACTTCTTTTTTTCAAGACAGCTTCCTTGTTCACAGACTGAGAGACCCCACTGCATAGGATGATGTGTTACAGCATGATCTGGTCCCAGTGGAATAAGAATTTAAATTTTCAGAAAAGTCGCTAGTATTTTGACAACTTTAACTCAAACGTTAATGAAAAATCTTCTATATCTTTCTGCTGAGTAGGCTAGAAAGTTACAGCAAATTTTTCATGATACAGAACAAACACAGGTGTCCGGATTGTTAGCAAGGCTCTTCTTTTCAGTTTGAACCTAAGTTACATACAGAGCAGCCTGAAGGCTGAATACATTATTCAGTTTCTAGGCAGCTACACAATGACCTTTGGTAATACTATCATGATATTTATTTACACTAACGGTAATTTTGTGTTACAAATTGAGAAGCTGGTGAAGATAATCCATTTTTTAAAATAGGCATTACATAAAAATACTAAATATATTTTACAATAATCTAAAAAATTTCATGCAATTATTCAAAAGATTGCCACCACAAATCTCCATTCTTTGCATATATTTATTAGTCTCTCAGT